AATGTTTTTGTCGGAATTTTATTACTATGATCTTAGTTAGATACTGACCAAATAGCATAGAAAGATAGAGCGAAAGACGCTCTATCTATTCGTAAAAAAAGAAATTTCTTTTTAGCTATTTATAAGAAAAAAAAGAACCTGGCCCACTACTTTTGGATAACCCTAAGTACATATTTTTTTTAATGAGAATAGTAAAAAATGCGAAAATATCCATGAGAAATACTTGATAAAAAGCAGCTGACCGGGACCAGTCGGAAAAAGTTTTAGTCCCGATCCCGATAAAAGTGAAATTTTAGTCCCGGGACCGGTACTGGGAGGGTGTGGGTGTGAATGTGGGGGTGTGGGTGTGGTTGGGGGTGTGTACTTGATATTGTCTTAAGCCCACACCCATACCCACACCCCACAACCCCCACCCACATCCACACCCACCCTAACGAATTGTTTATAAATTTTTTAGATCGTATCTCGTGTGAAGCGAAATGAAATTCGAATATATCGTGCTAAACTATTACATTATCTTATTATTATTTTTATTTGTTTACTTTTATTAATGACAATCAATGACAACATTTACATATGGTTATTTGTTTATATTATTTGTTATTATAAAATACAAAATTCAAAAGCTGATTCAATTTTATGAACTGTCGAAAAAAAAATGAAAGTTTTTAAACAATTAAACTTTTACAATAATATTCTTTGGATGAACAGATCTAAGTATCAACAAAATTTTAGATCAAAATAAACTGTTATATAAGTTTGAAAAATTCTTTCTTTGTTAGGTGGATTTATCACAACAGAAAAGAATGAAACAACATATATTCTTATTTTAAATACAAATGTATTTACATCGACATATCTATTTTATACACGTCAAGATCAACAATTTGTTATTCATGTACAAGTATGTATTAATCAATACGGAGAAAAGATTAAGATAATGTCTATATATTGATATTTTTAATGATTTGAGGGATTTTATGATGAATAGGTAACGCTGATGGATCCATGTGTACAGTTAATTTAACTAATAATCAAACAACAACACTATTGAGTTCTTCGTTATTATTACTTTTACCATCAACATATGATGATAGTCCATTACTTGATTTATTATTCAATACAACTATTAAACAAAAATATGAAGATAAACATTCACATGTACACGAACAAATTAATACTACACTAAATTCAGAAATGTTTTAATATTGATAAAAATGAGAATGGATTTGATGACAATATTGTTATAGAGAACAAAATATTAACATATATAATTTTTATTCAATTGGAATGGAATTAAGAGAAATCGAATGAAATTAATATTAATTGTACAATGTTATTAAATATTATTCAAGTAAGATAATTATTCAATGAAATATATTTTACTAGTTAAAAACTATAGAGTCTGTTGAGTTACTTGTGAAAATATTCTGTTGTTAATAGACTCGACCAATGTTATTGTCGCAAAAACTATATTTGCAAAAACAAAACATCATAAAATGATTAAGTATCAACAGACTCGATATTTTTCCAAGATTTTTACTCGTCATATATTTAAGATAAAAACTATGTATACTTTTTCTATAAACATTATTTGATTGTTCAATACGATAGCAAAGTCTGAATATGAACTCACTTCTCAATAATCAAACAATAGTTTTGAAAAAGAAAGCATAAATTTTTTTCTACTTATTGTTTATCAGTCGAATAAAACCATTAGAAAAAAAATATATCGAGCCTAACGAGATTTGATGTTTTTGACGTATTTCAATTTTCATAGGCTATTATGGAATTCTTCTCGTACTAAGCCAGGGTTGCCAGATCGAAAAGTTAGAAATCGAAATATTTTAACCAAAATTCGAAAAAAATCAGAATTTTTTATATTCTACTTCGGAAAAAGTTCGGAAAGTAGTTGTTTTACTATCAAATATATATACCACCTTTTTTATAGACATATGTTTTGCTCTATCAACATTTTGTGCAAAAATTGTTGCCGATATACTTATTTCTTTCTTCAATCTCACTTAAACTCACATCTGAATTATCATCTTCGTCATTCATGGTTGAATTTAATTCAGGATAACAAGAGACAATTTTCATGTAAAAAAACGCTTTTCTAAACTTAAAGTTCAGTCCATGTCAAAGAAGTTATTGATTCAAATGACATTTTTTTTAAACAATACAAAGTATTCATTGAGTTCGGATAGATTTTAAACTCAAACGATCTTACATTATAAATAGTCTCAAAATTGTATTATGGAATGATTACAGTAGAACAACGACAGCGCAAGAATTGCTAATGAAAATTAAATTAGAAGTTATAACCAAAGTCATTAAATCTCGAATCTAGAGAAATAAAAGGTCTCGAAAAAATATTCAAAATTCGAAAGAGTTTGGAAAAAGTATCAAAATTCGGAAGATCTGGCAGCCCTGTACTGAACTAATCATTCGTATTGTATTCTTGTGATCCGATCGAAGTCGGGCACTTATTGGATTTTAATTGCAAGAATGATGGACTAGTTGAATTTTCTTGTATTACATTAACTCATCTATACAGATCGTTACTTTCATTTTCGAATGAACTATTTTTTTGTAATCAATTCCAATATTATTTTTCATATAACTTTTATTTTGTTTTCTTAAGGTAATTTTATGTCATTGAATAGATAATGTAAAAAATAAAAATTATTTCGAATAGATTCGTGAACATAACATTGAATTAGGTGAACAATATTGAGCTGTATTTAATGATACGACTTATTCAACGTTTACTTAAATATACATCAATAAAACATATTGATTATCAATTATTAATTGATTCATTGGGTACATTACGTGAAATAGCAAAAAAAAAATTAAATGAACAAAGTAGAAAAACGGAAAAACATTTATCAATGTTTAATATTGTTCATATTATTGATACTTGTCGTTAAATTTTAGTCAGAGTTTCTTGCTGCACATCATGATTATATAGAAAAACTTCAAGTTATTGAACTCCAACAAGAATTAACAACAATACAACTACATTTCACTCATTTTCTTTTCTTCGATTGTCTTGAATATATGTGAAAAGCATTCTCTATGAAAATATATTCCCCTGATTCAATTGGGGAATATTCAAAGTTTATTTGATATTAATCCATCATCATTAGCAATTGATGATAAAATTTGTTGACTGTTTTTGTTTTTTGTGGAACTCACATTACATCTTTCTTTTCGAAGAAAAATAGAATAAGTGTAAGTTTTAGAGACACGCGACACAGAAATTTAGACGTTCACTGAATTCTTACTCATCATATTTTCATTAGAATCTATTTTACATTTCTCATGGTATCCTGATGGTGATTATTTATGAATGCGGTCATTATAGACTTTTACTTTAAAAGTAGTAACTATGAGAGATCAGATCCATACTCCAGTGGCGGATCCCGGATTTTTGAGAGGAGGTGGCACTTTCTAAATTATATCATCCAAGTCAGTATAATTTTTTTCCGAAAGTACATAAATTAGTGCTCGCTTTCTTTCAATTCTTTATTTTGTTTTCGTGTAGTAAATTTGTAATATCATGGAAACAAAAAAAAACTTTTTTCGAGATAAATATAGGCAGTAAAATCTAAAAAACCAATCGACGATTAGATTTAGCAAATTCATCAATCACAGCATCAACATTTATATCTACATCTCTATAAATATACATCATTGCTAAACCATTAAGTCGTGTTTCAGACATGGTCGAACGTAAATAAGTTTTCAGTAATTTCAGGACTGAAAAGGTTCTTTCTGTAGTTGCAGTTGTCACTGGTAGAGTTGCAAAGATTTTCAATAAAATTTTTATGTTTGGATAAAATGCTTCCGGACAAGCAGCATAAGCATGAATTACTGTGTCTGGTAAAACTATTTCTTGTTTCTGTTTCATTTTGATTGTGGTTGTATTGCTAGACGAAGAAGGTGATAATGGAGTAGAGATAGTTTCTGTAACAATATTCATCCATCGTTTTTTCCATAACAAAAATTCAGATTTGACTTGAACATCTGAACCGGCAGATAAAAAGTTGTTATAAATTTCAATAGCTGGAGTTAAATCATCATAACTTTTATCAACAATATATTTTGGAACAAGACATGAAATAGCTGCTGCTTTTTTGACATGTTCACTGAATCTATCTTTAATAGCTACTAAAAAATGATCAAGTAATGGAATGAAAATATTCAGCTTAAAATAATCATATGCAGAAGAAGCAGGAATATTATCTCTATTGATCTATAAAAAGAAGAATCTATCAAATGATGTAAACACTCAAAACTAATTTCAATTTTCATACTTGTCGTTTGGTAATCCTTGGCATTTCTATTACCGTTTCCGTATATTTACCCAAATGTTGTGCTTCTTGAAACAAGTAATTATATTCTTCATCAGGTTCGTTTCTCATCATTTGCATCACTTGCAATATATCTTCAATATTTGAAATACAATTCATTAAGTCGATTTTGCTATTTTGTAAGCTTCCTATGAATTCATTCGCAAATAGTGCAGTATAGACAACAAGTTAATGTTTTGACTTACGTGCTACATTAATTGTAAATGATAATAATTTATTCAACATTGGTAATGAACATAGAAATTCTGAAGAAGATATTGCACCATAGAATAAGTTTGATCTAATGGATGATTCTTTATCTTTAGATTTCATTAAATTAGTTAATAATTCAACAACAACAGGGAATAAACAATTAAATGTTTCAACAGCTACACGACGTTCAACCCATCTAGTCGCACAAACATTCACCAATTTTACTTTTTTATATCGTACTTCACTTGTACTATTTTCTAATGATTGTATAGATGATGTTTCATTGTTTTCACTCAATACAATTACTCGCTTTTTATTTATTTCACGTGCTAATCTTTCAAATCTTCCACTACGAACTGACAATGATCGAATAAAATTATAAATTTCTTTTATTGTACCAATTGTATTTTGTATGGAACGTATTTCACAACTATCACTTATTGCCAAATTGAATGAATGAGACGCACAATGTACGTATAATATATGTGGATATTTGTCTCGAATTATCGCTTGACAACCTTTGATATGTCCTTCACGAATTATAAGAAATAGATAATTAAAAAATGTTCGGTCAAGCGGTGAGAAAGAAAGGGTAGCTCCTACCTGACATGGCTGAGCAATCATCATGACCTTGTTCAACACAGAAAGCTAAATCTAATCCTGAAAACAAAAATATTCATCAGATTCTTTTCGAGCTGAAAAATTTTTTCTATACATAAATCTAAAATAGATGTTATAATTAAATCTGCTAGACCAGCACCTGATCGATCCATAACCGGAATAAACATTAAAAATCTTTCATGAATTTGATCGTTTAAGATGTATCTAATGCAAAGACTAGCTTGTTCAATATTTGCTATATCAGCTGAAATTATTTAGAATTAAAAGAAACAAATACCAGAGATGAAGGAGATTTTCAAAAATCTAATTTACTGGTTTCATCGAGTAATATAGTAAAAAATTGTGCTTGTTTAACTTCTTCAATAACTTGTTTTAAAATTAATTTACCAATGATATCAATTAGCTGATTTTGAGTTGTCTTCGATATATAAGTAGCATTTTTGTTGCATCTTTCCAGATGCTTTTTCAGCACTTCATCACCACTTTGAATACGATACAATAATAAAGCACAAAAATTTCCCTCGTTTGCTAATGATGCTTCACTTGCAATGATTGTATTACCATCGTCACGATGGCCACGTAGAGCAATATTTTGCTTTCCGCAAAACACGATTGTTTCTATAATCGGTTTCAATCGTGCACGATTTTCTAAAATTTCATTTTGAGAGCGTTTGTCCATTAACAACTAAAATATTCCAAAAGGAGTATAAAAAAATAAAAAAATTAATATAAAATTTAGAAAGCAGCTTCCTTCTTTCGAATTTTGCTATCGTCTCATAGTAAGAAAGTTTCGGGTCGAATTAAAAAAAATGTCTGTCATACAAAAAGTTTTCTTCACTGCTTTTCTTTAGAATTATGTAAAAAATTTTTTTATGTGTACTATGAAGGATGCGTTTTTCTATATATCTTCTTCCCTGCCACACTTGTATACTTACTTCAATTGATGCTTCCGGTTTTTTTGAGTAAATATAAACGAAATTATTCATTTTAGCTATTGAATCCGAATGGTATTGTTTGTTTTGATGAAGTAATAAATTACCATTATTTCCAAGTAAATACTTATAGTCGTTTAGTGGTTTCTCAACTAATTTCCCAAAGGAACTAACACCTGTTACTGACGTTGCAAAAATACAACATGCTATACAATAAAGACCTTTATGAAACTATGAATATCTGAGCCACTTAAATTCATCAAGATGACTTTATTTCAGATATCTTTTTTGCACGATTGATTTTCCATTTTTCACTACCTTACGTTCTTTGTAAGGCCAAACAAATCCTTTATTCGGTTTAAAATGATTTGTTATCAATTCATATTTTTGTTCATCAGTAAGTCTTTTACCAATCCATAAGCCAATATCATTTGTACGCAGAATCAATGCTTCACTTGTTACATTGTCATTTTCTGACATATTTAATTGTATTGATGATGCTGACGATGATGATGTTAATGATAGTACTGGTGATGCTGGTGTTGTTGATAATGTTGATGATGATGTTAATGATGGTAATGTTGTGGACCATGATGATATGACTTGAATCTCTTTTAATGACGGATCTAAATTTGACTGAAGTATCAAAGACTATTCAATATCATTTGATCCTGGTGGTTCAGATGGATTTTCATTTTGCTGTTGCTGTTGATTACTACTATTTGAACCTACTGTTTTTTTGAAATACTTAGTAATCTGAGGATACATTTGAATCTAAAAACACATTCAAGTGTAGCACTAAAACAAGTAGTCATAAAAATTTAAATTTCATCAACATATTCTTTCCTTATCTCCACAAATATGTATTGAAAAGATCAGACTTTTTCAAGAAAATATTCAAAAGTCCCTAGTCACATCATTAGACTCTCCTTTTATAGTTGGGATTTTCTCTTCGTTTTTTTTGAGCATTATACACTTTTGCTGGTTGCGATTTGATTTTGAACTATCTTCGAATAAAACCACAATAAATGGTAGTTATAACCAATCCCCTTTTTGTATTTCTTACTATTACTCATCCAAGTGCCTTATTATTTCAAACAATATTTGAACGATCAACGGCGACATCTTCGATTAAGTTCCCTATTACGATATATTATTTTTTGAGTCTCAGTACAAGAAAAACACTTAGGATAATAATGAAAGATCGAAAACCCAAAAAATATGATGGGTTTTCTATGATCTATTTATGAGTCAAATTGATGGCAACTAATCAAACTAATGATATTTTTTTTTTGTTTACTTCGGTTACCGATTTTATTTTCGGCCTTTTATTATTACCAAAACACTAAAAATTTCCGTCGTTACTTCTATTCTCAGGGGGGTGGCGATGGCCGGATAGCCGAAATGGTGGATCCGCCAGTGAGTTGTACAAGCTGAAAAACTTGAAGAATTAATAAATTATTATCAAAATCGTGGATATTTTGATGAATTAATACAATTACTTGAAGCAGCACTTGGACATGAACGTGCACATATTGGCACGTTTACAGAATTAGCTATACTTTATTCGAAATATAAACCACAAAAAATGCGTGAACATTTAGAATTATTTTGGTCACGTGTTAGAAAACCAAAAGTAAATAAATCTTTTTTTTTGTTTATTTTTAAATTAAATCTTTTTGTTGTTCTAAGGTTTTACGTGCATGTGAACAAGCACATCTTTGGTCTGAACTTGTTTTTCCCTCGACTGTAGGGAGGGTCATATGAAAAAAAATAGTTTGTGTGTTTGTCTGTTTGTGTGTTTGTGGCAGGGTCAAAAGAACATACCAGAGAGGTTAACTTATTTTAAGACTTTTGGTCGTTTTGAGTGAACTTTGCCATAGGTT